GAGAGAAGGGTGGTGAGAGAGAGAAGGGTGGTGAGAGAAAGGAGGATCAGATGAAGGAAAAGACTTAGAGACATGGATATTACTTGTCAGAGACTCGGGGAGGACGGGAAGGAGACTGATACCTAAAGAGAGGAAAGATGATCGTGAGCAAGGGGTTTGGGAGATAGGTAAGGAGACAGGGGAAAATGAGATTTTATTGCTCCGGTCCCAATAACACTTCCCAAAATAAAATATAATTGGTCGTAATTATCGAATAAGAATCGGAAATTGTCAATTGAACGTCTGATTTGCTTACATCGATCCGCCCTATACCCTGATGTTAGTTGTCGGACTTTCGTCCCCGTCTTGAGTTGAGATGTTAGTTTCACAACGTTTCGGCCAGTTACTTCTCCGGCCGTCGTCAGGTGTTCTTTGGCCCTTAGAAGGACCTGGATGTTGGTGGCGTTGCGCCGTACGCGTCATACCGTTCGAAAGCTCCTGTAGTCAGCGGGAATCGAACTCGGGTTTCCCCGGTGATAGTCCACGGTTCTAACCACTCCACTATCGAGGCAGACATCGTTATGGAGCTGGAAACTTGGTGTCATTTATCCCCCAGATGTTTTTGTGATTTCCTTAGTAGTGGGAGCCATATTGGGCTGATGTCAACGCTTGGCTTGCTGATGGGGTTGCTAGCCAGCGCCATGTGTGCGGCTTCCTTGATTTTTCTGATTTTCCAGTGTGGCTCCTTGTCGATGATGGTGGTATCATCCCAAGCAGGTCTGTGATCTCCTTCAGACCATGCATGCTCCGCCACACCGGATTTCAGTGTTTCGCCTCGGATGGTGGCCTTCCTGTGTTCTTCGAGCCTGACCGTCAGTGGGCGGCCAGTCTCGCCCTTGTATGACCTGCCGCAGCTGCACGGGATGTCGTATATGCAGTTCTTTGTTTGCTCCTTGGTGGTTGGCGGTCTGACCTTTGTGAGTGACCTGCGGAGGGTGGTGGTACTTCTGAACACCGTCCTGATGTTGTATGCTCCGCAGATTCGCCTTAGCTTCTCTGACAGTCCTCTGTTGTATGGGAGGGATACTGTCGCGATTGGCTTATCCCTTGGTTGTTGTTGGGATGCTTCCTTGGGTTTGTGTTTCATGAAGCTCGTTGGGTATCCGTTTCTCCTGAAGGTGCTGGTAAGGCGTGACATTTCCATCTTTCTGGCTGCTTCGTCTCCACAGATGTTGGTGGCTCGGGTCTGCAGGCATCTTACGATACCTTTCTTGACTGTGTCTGGGTGGTGTGACTTGAAGTTGAGGTAGCGGTCGGTCGCTGTTGGTTTGCGGTAGACCGATGTTCTGAATGCTTCCTCAGATTTCTCCACTTGGACGTCAAGGAATGGTAGTTTGTTGTCGACTTCTGTTTCCATTGTGAATTGGATGGAGGGTCGGAGGCTGTTGAGGTGGTCTAGGAACGGTGTTATGTCCTCGCGATGGTCCCACAGGACGAATGTGTCGTCGACATATCGCAGCCACAGGGATGGTTTCAGTGGTGCTGTTTGTAAGGCCAGTTCCTCGAAGTGTTCCATGTAGATGTTGGCGATCACCGGTGACAGGGGTGAACCCATGGCCATTCCTTCAGTTTGTTGGTAGTAGTCATCGCCCAGTTGGAAGGCGGTGGTGGTGACACAGAATGTCAGGAGTTCCATGATGTCATCAGTCGGGATTGTCGTTCTTTCGGGCAGTGTATCGTCGCTCTCCAGTCTTGTCCTCACTATGCTCAGAGCTTCGGTAGTGGGCACATTGGTGAACAGACTCACCACATCGAAGCTTACCATTTGCATGTTCGGCGAAGGTCGCATGGCCTGAACCAGTGAGACGAAGTGGGCTGAGTTCTTGACATATGTAGGTGTTTTGCCACTCAGTGGGTTGATGATCTTGACGAGGAACTGGCTCAGAGGATGGCAGGCTGAGCCACGGCAGCTTACTATTGGTCTTAGCGGTACATTGGTCTTGTGTACCTTTGGCAGCCCGTACATGTGTGGAAGTTTGCTGTGATGTTGGCTCAGCTTTCTGTACTGGGCGTCCGTGAGTTGTTCCTTGTCCTTGTTCTTCTTAAGGAGCTTTGTTAGTTTGCGTTCGCAGGCCGGGGTTGGGTCTTTCTTCAGTTTGGTGTACGATCCATCTGTCACAATGCCGCCCTATACCCTGTTTGACATGTTTGCACCAAAGCCAACTTGCAGGCTATACATCGAGCCAGTGGTATATACTATACAATAAATACATCTCTCCCGGTGGTATACCTGCATAGAGCCGAGACCTCCGGCTGTATTTTCCCACGATCAGCCGGATTGCAAAGCCGTGTATTTTTCGTCCGTTGCAGGCGGCCGGCGCAATCTCCGTGAAAGAAGCGCTCCAGTGACAAAAGCACGAGCAGATCGCCTAAATGCCGGTGGCCGCGAGAATTTCTCTAGTTTCTGAAGAATTTTTCGGGACCCATGCTCTACTCATACTGCATCCGAATATACGCCATCGGGCCGAGAGCCAAACTAGATCCGTTTGACGTCACTGATACGAATTTGCTCATGTAGTCGGTGCACTGAATGCGTTCTTGGGGAGCTGATGCGAATTAGCGTAGTGCGTATTTGGAACGGATGGCTCATGTAACCGAAACGTCCGAGGCACACGATTCGGGCCGTATTTCACAAGAACAATTCTTTGCTGACTGGAAGCGTCAAAATGCAAAATACTAAGCTTTTTTTATTGGCTGCCTCGTAGAAAATAGCAAAAAAAAAAATGTTGGTGTTTTTGTTTAGTCTTTGCATGTGAAATAAAATGAATGAAATATTTTGATAGATAATTTCATCTGACCACCCTGCTGTCGCTGCATGGCGAATCAGTGCCCACTGACTTAAAACAAGAAAACTTTGTTTTCATTTTTTGATTTCATGTTAATTTTAAATGTTTTTGAGCCTATCAAATGATGTAAGTATTTAAAATTTAGCTCAGTCGTCCCGGTAAATGCCGCAACTGCGCCATGACTGTACGCTAATCCTATTCCGTTTGTGATGCGAATTACCGGCCGTCGAGGAGTCAGCCCGGGTGAGCCAAACAAGATCCGTTTGACGTAGATAAAACGAATTAGTCTCATGTAACCGGTGCCGTAGATCCGTTTGTGGGGAGCTGATGCGCATTAGCGTAGTGCGTATTTGGAACGGATCGCTCATGTAACCCCGGTAATTGATACAATACAAAGAAAGTGATACACATATAACCAAAACGGCAAACGACACTACCATAGGTACACAAATAATCAGTGGGTATTACCAAAATATTCCAATTTGGTATGACTGTAAAAACGGAACACTGAAATGTACCACCTCTCTCTCTCCTCAACTGATTTAACAAGACACTACTGAGAAAAAAAAACAGGACAGAAAAAATAGAAATAGTAGAAATGGAACGCAGACTAGCCCCACGTCCCCGGCGGCAGGCGCCGAGGGCCGGCTATCCGACCCCGACGGACCTATGCGGCAAACACAGCACCTCGACGCCCGCCGCGCAAGGTCGCAGGGCCATGAGGGCCTTCCTACCAGGATATCAGTAAGAATCTAAGGTAAGGTTAGGTGCATATGAATATCAGTACGAGTCTAAAAGAGAACCTCTTATTATATTTTTTAGCTGTCTTTTGGATGCCGGAATTGTCTGTATGTTCGGAAACATAGGACTGATTATTTGGTTCCAGAGCCTGGGACCAGCCCATCGTATCGTGTGTGTACGGTATAGTTTTTCAGTGAACATTTCATTGAAATGATGAGCTGAGCGCGTGACTCGGTCTGGTTCAGCTAAGGTAAAAAAGTTATCTAGGGATGTGGGCAAAGTTTCATTTAGCTTACGATGCAGTAAAAGTAATGATTGCTTTTGGAGCTTGCAGCAATGCGTGTTGCAAGTAACTCACCAGAAAAGATGATGCTCTGAGAATTAATAAACAAAAGCCCACAAAGTCCTGTAATTGACAAGTTACATGGATAAGTTTGAGTTATTATATCATTAAAAAAGTCTTGCAATGTGTGTAGCGATCATGAAATACATGCCCTCCGCGGGCTTTGTCCACCTCTCCCAAACATCCACCCTGCTAAGGGTTGGACAGACAACTATCCCATGGGGGAAGCCTGGAGGTTCCCCCAGGGTCCAATCTTATAAAATGTCTTACTATTCTATTCACGGCATTTGGTAACATTTATGGTGATGTCAGTGCTGTCAGTGCTGAGTCTGGGTGACTGAGTCTTGACAACTCACCTCAACCTGGGTGTCTGCCCAGACCAATGTTTCCTCATAATGTCTCCAGGTCTCCACTGCTCTCCTCGCCTGTTTCAGCTGTCTACCCCTGCACGCCTGATTCCTGACTCCCTCTCTCATTCGCTTTACCCAGGTTTTGCCAATGTTCTACTTCTGAGTGTGCAGTTGCTGCTTTTTGGTGCGCACACACCCCAGACTCTCCATCCAATTAACGCCTGAACAGTTGCTGAAAGTGCCTCCCACCAGACTTGCTGAATGGCTACTACTTGCATATGCTATCTGGACTGAAGCTTCCCCAACTAGCTGCCATGGCTCTTGGCAGCTGGGCTTAATAGGTCACAGGTCAAAGTTCATTTGGGTCAGGTTCATAAAATGTCAAGGACATGTGTAAAATTGATCAACTGGAGGGTACTGAAAGTTTCGTCGCAATCGGCGTCTTTTTTATGCGAGTTATGAGTTATCCGCGAAAAACCGAGGAGGGGTCCGTTCGACCCCCCCCCCCCATACGGGCGGGGGTTAGGCCACATTCGGAAAGTCAAGCTACATCTAGCTAGGCACATCAGCCTATCACGGGCGTTTGACTAGTAAAATATAGACATTTGCAGCCTTTTTTGACGTTGAATAAGCTGATTTAGTTATAGGTCGTCAATCGTCATTATGTGCCTGCCGCCGCTTTTGTCGTCTTCATTGTGTGCTTTGTGGTTTTTTAGTTTTGATCATATCATCCTCCATCAGGCTTGTTTCTGGCGGTGGTTCTGGAGACAGCGTGTCGATCCAGCTGTAGAACGTCATCCGGAGGTGGCAGAGTGTGATGGCCAGCCACGCGGCGCGCGTATCGACATTGACCAGAAACTATCACATCATCTCCAGGTCAGTACCTAATTGTGTGAGCCAACGCGTCCACAGGTCAGCTGTGTCCCTTTTCGTCACTAGATCAGCGACGTGATGGCAATTCTGTGACCCGTCACCGCGTCCTTAGGTGGGTGGCTCGGGAGAACTTTTTGTGTTGCCGGGATGGGATGTCTGCTAATGCAGGTGCCGCTGCAACTTAGTGTCGTGACGTATGATGGGTCTCAGGTTCGGGTTTCGATTTCTCGAGTGAGAAATGTGTGTACAGGCTTATATACTGTTATTATAGCTGAGTGTGCGTCAGGAAACGTTATGAGCTATGAGTCGTGGTCGACGTGGCTCGTAGTGGTATTTGACGACCGTCGTGACCTGTGACGGTCACCGTGACTGCTATGTGACGGTCGCCGCGGCTGGCATATGACGGCCGCCGTGACTTCTATAACGGCCTTCGTGACTGAAACGTGACGGTCGTCTTGACATGCCGCGACTCGCTGCTTTACAGGTCACTGGTCGAGGGCGCTCGAGCTGACGGTGTCTTCCGACGGCTCCACGGTGACCAGCGCCGCCACCGCCGAGACCATCCGACTCCTGAAATGCTAGCGGCCGTGCACGAACAAGAGGCTCTAAGCATCCAGGTGCAAGGCAAGCGCCATGCTCAGGTGTCATCCGAAGAAGGCCGCACAGTGCACTTTAGGCTGAGCTCGGGTGTAGTGCGCGCCGACGGATAGGATGAAATGACGGGCCGGCCATCAGATTTCAGTGCGGGGATCAAGATGGTCGGAGCCGATGTGGCTCGGTTGATGATGTGGCAGGGTTGATTGAGAGTGAAAGCGAGACACCCGGATCTGTAAAAAATACGCCGATACGGGTCTCGAACGTCGTCTCGCAATTTGTGCTCTGTAATATGACGGCTATGCCGTGGTATCATTCACTCTCGGTGCGCTAATAAATAATAAATAGGACAGAGGCTGGAATTAAGATATTATATTTGGATGTAAGGGGCAGGTTTGGGCCAGCGCTATTTTAGAAATCGTGAGCGTGCTAGTTGCAATCAATCGCGCGCTTCTTGTTGAGCATCTGTGAGCGAGAAAATACTTTCTCTGGAACTTAGCAGTTCGTCGTGAAATTTTTGTATCTTTGAAGTAAGTTGTCAGAACATGAATGCATTTTTGGTGTCCACTGCAGCTGCTGTTCTGGAACAGAAACATGCCGAGATCGGCTGTGTATGTATGTTGTGGCAAAATCAAGCAGCCGCACCATGAATCAAAAGCGATATGTGAATTAAAGTGAATATATTTCACTATTTTTCAGTTTTATCATACAGATCACAGAAATGCGTCAAATACTGATCACACCCGGTTCCAAACAAAAACGCTTGCGATCACTGGAAAATAAATAAACAATAGATACCCATGTGGCTGCCTGGCGTGATCCGAGACTCTCTCTCTCCCTCTCCCTCTCCCTCTCCCCTCTCTCTCTCTCTCACTGTTGTTGCTGACACACACGGCCGAATCGGCCAAGATGGAGAGCACGGAACGATGCTGGTGACTGGCGGACCAGCGAAAACAGGAAAGGAGATGAAAAGCTCTAGCTCCCGTCTGCGCGCGGAAGGGCGCTGATTGGCGCGGCTCACAGACTCCATTGGCTCATCAGACTGTTGTTGGTTTTCTCCCTCCCCTCCCACAGACCTAGCCAGGTAGCTTAGTTGTGCGCGGAAGCGAGCGGCCAGAGCGGGGCTAGGCGTCGCCCTCCCAGGTACCGGGCAGTGCAGCTGGACTTGCCGCGGATGGTACGCCTCTGATCTCGGCACACTCGGCAGAGTGCGGCCGGACACGCCATGGAGTTGCATAGCGTGGATAGGCCGTATGGTGTCGCTGTCGTTATTATAAAAGCGTAAGTAGAAGGTTGAAGCAAGATAGAATGCCATCTTTTTTCGAGCTTTGTTACAAATTATTAGTATTGACCGTTTCATTACATATAATATCGCAAAGCACAGCTTTATGCGCTGGCTACAATATATGCGCGTCGGTTGCGGCAGTGATCATCGAAGAAATATATGATTTATGAACGTTTCTTGGTCATAGAATGATAATACATTGCAATGATTACCTGTTGTAAAGAAAACTCCTATACTGCCGCTCTATCGTCCGGAATTATTCGTGTTTGATTACGGCGATTCCGCCACTCTATCAGCTGATTTTTGTTTCCGAGTCACGTGACCAACCGGTGTCTCCCTGTAGGCATTCTGTAAGACGTGCCAGCTACGTATTTTACTCGATACTAATAGGGAGGGTAAGAAGGGGACGGGGTACTGCTAACACAAGTTTTTATAGTGATGGTGTAACTGTACAGTGTACACATTTATGCAGATAAATGAGAAAAATAGGATCATACTCCGAAGAAACCGCCAGTGCGAGAAGTCGAGAAGTCGCCATGCACCACGACAGATAGGTAGGGGAGAGCGGGGCCAGTTGAAACACGGGGTCAGATGAAACATGGCTTTATTTTCAACAGCATGCAACATATGGCGTTGCCGACACCACTGCGCATCCGCGCTCGACCACTTCCTTTGTCAACGGCGTTTGGGCGGCAAACGGACGGTAATTTTGATTTGACACTTGTTTTTGTGTTTTTGAGGGGCGTTTTGGAGAAATTGTTTTTATGAATATTTTGTGATATCTCATATACCTTTGTTTGCTGAAAGAAGAACTCCTGGCTCCGGAATAACACCTTATTTGGCCCTTCATTCAGCATTATGCCGTCCCTCCAGCTCGTTTGACATGTGCTTTACGGCGCGTGCGAGATGGCGGGAGCGGATGGGGTCAATTGAAACGCTTCTCTGAGGGTCAGTTGAAACAGGGCCACAGGCCGTTTCAATGGACCCCGGTGACCTTTGCAATGGCTATTGTTCAGGGGCTGTAAACATTAAAGGAAATTGTCCACCTTTGAAATGAGCTTTTAAACTGAAATAGTAGTTTAACCCTCGCACCGACGGGGGGGGGCGGATATCCGCCCCCCCCCCCTGAGGTTTTTCGCGAATAGCGGGAAAACCGCGGCGCGTAGCGCCGCGAAATTTGGAATGACTATAACCTCATCAATTTTACACATGGTGTGCAAGTTTGAACCTCCTACCTTTTAAGGTCAGGTCACCAGGTCACTTTGAATGACCCAACCTCAAGTCACTTTTTTGCAACTTTGTCACCGTGCCAGAGCTACAGTAGGTAGATGTCGGAGGCCTTTGAAAGTCGCAGGATATTATTAGGTCATTAGTAGCTACAATTTGTATATCTCGGAATTTTGATATCGGTGACCTAAGGTCAGGTCAATTTCGCGACCTCCCCATTATAAGTTAATGGGGGAAAAATCAACTCCCTGTTTTTACCACTAAAACGGGTCGGAATGGCCCCATATACCATACATGACTTCATATACGATCAACCTTCACTACCTTGAGGTCTGTTTTACTGTTGGGCAGCTGTGAGGTCATGTGACGTCATCAAAGGTCACCAAAGGTTTTTGGCCAATAACTCCGTACAGGAACAAGATACAGACGCGTGGATGGTCTCATTGTGTTCAGCTTGTCAAGACGCATCGAATAATATACATGATGACCTCGAGATCACGTGACCTAAGGTCAACCTTTGACCTTGACCTTTCGAGGTCAACATATATATCATTCGATGCGGATTGACGAGAGGATCACGATGATGCCCTTAGTTTGTTCCTATCTTGACTAATTCGAAAGTTATTCGAGAAAAACTCTTTCCATATCTAGCGCCGCCATTTTGACTTTTTCGACCCCTGTGACGTCATCTTTGACCTGACCTGAAAATGACCTTAGCAAAAATTGTAGATCTTGGCCGTGCGTATCCGATGCCGTTTACCGCTTGTCGCTATCTTGCTTCGTTCTTGAGATCTCAGGGGGGGGGGCGGTCATCCGCCCCCCCCCCGTCGGTGCGAAGTTGGCGCAGACCCCCGTCGGTGCGCGGGTTAATAGAGCTCAATTTTTGACCCCTTTTGTCCAGCCTTTTGCTTGAAAGCACACTATAGCCTGAGATATTTCTCATTTTCCTCATCCGCCCATTTTACCATAGTCTATGTACTTTATGTCACCTATTATGAGGAACTTTGCACTTTTAGCTTTCCAACGACCTATTGAATGTAGCATTTGGAAAAGTAAACCGGACAAAATATCTCCTTAAGAAAGTGGCCTTAAAGAGGAAAACATCCCATTGTTAAGGATAGGTGCAATTGACCCCATGGGCTGGTTCAATTGACCCTCGCATCGGGGTCATTTGAAACGGGCGTAGAGCTGTTTTATAAGCATGCGTTTGGCAGCAAAATATGTTTGAAGTAGAGTTGCAAAGTTTTCCCAATGGGCTGCTACCGGCACCGCCCCGCCCCACAAACATTTTCTGGGATACCGGCATGCTACCACGACCCAAGCAAAAAAAACCGCCAAATTACCGGCATACTAAAAAACCTGCATTCTTGATTCTGGCTTACCCCTACATGAGATGCCACATTTTGGCAATTTCAGTAACCGCCCCACCCAGCAGCCACCCATTGTCCAACTTATTACAATTCAATAGCCTCTTAGTGTCCAAAGTTTGAATCATATACTGATATTTTTTTGTGCAAAATCAAAAATACCGGCATGCTACCGGCAAGACATGCCAGATACCACGAAAAAACCTGCGGTAGTGAAAAATTACCGGCATGCCGGTAGTGCGGTAGGGAAATTTTGCAACTCTAGTTTGAAGCATAATTTTACATATCTTAAAGTAAAGCCAAAAGAGCATATTTTTTCATGGTATTGTGCATGTTTCGATATGACAACTAGATCTCGCTGTGCATGTCAATATATAAAAAGTGGTTCAACTGGCCCCGCTCTCCCCTACATAGAAATACCTACTCGTCAGGTACCTACAACCAGGGCTGCGGAGTCGGAGTCGGAGTCGGAGTCGGAGTCGGAGTCGGAGTCGGAGTCGATTTTAGAAACCCGAGCCGGAGCCGGAGTCGGAGTCACCGAAAACCTGTCGACTCCGCAGCCCTGCTAGGTCTGCGGAGTCGGAGTCGGGAGTTGGAGTCGGTCGGAGTCGACAATTCTGCCCGGAGTCGGAGTCGGAGTCGGAGCTGGTTTTTGAAAGCCGGAGTCGGAGTCGGAGTCGGAGTCGCCGAAAATCCATCGACTCCGCAGCCCTGCGGCTACAACACAGGAGGAGTGCCCACTGACCGTCTCCCACTGACCGTCTCCCACTGACCGTCTCCCACAGACCGCCTCCCTGCGACCGTCTCCACTGACCATCTTCTAATGACCGTCTCCCACTGACCGTATCCCACTGACCCCACTGACCGTCTCCCACTGACCGTCTCCCACTGACCCCGCTGACCATCTCCCACTGACCGTCTCCCACTGACCGTCTCCCACTGACCGTCTCGTGGACCGCCTCCCACTGACCGTCTTCCACTGATCGTCTTCCACTGATCGTCTCCCACTGACCGTCTCCCACTGACCGTCTCCCACTGACCCCACTGACCGTCTCCTACTGACCGTCTCCCACTGACCGTATCTCACTGACCCCACTGACCGTATCTCACTGACCCCAATGACCGTCTCCCACTGACCGTCTCCCACTGACCGTCTCCTAATGACCGTCTCCCACTGACCCCACTGACCGTCTCCCACTGACCGTCTCCCACTGACCGTCTCCCACTGACCGTCTACCACTGACCGTATCTCACTGGCCGTATCCCACTGACCCCAATGACCGTCTCCCACTGACCGTCTACCACTGACCGTATCTCACTGGCCGTATCCCACTGACCCCAATGACCGTCTCCTAATGACCGTCTCCCACTGACCCCACTGACCGTCTCCCACTGACCGTCTCCCACTGACCGTCTCCCACTGACCGTCTTCCACTGACCGTCTCCCACTGACCGTCTCCCACTGACCGTCTCCCACTGACCGTCTACCACTGACCGTCTCCCACTGACCGTCTCCCACTGACCCCAATGATCGTCTCCACTGACCATCTACCACTGGCCCCACCGACCGTCTCCCATCGACCGTCTCCCACTGACCCCACGGACCGTCTCCCACTGACCGTCTCCCACTGACCTCAATGACCGTCTCCATGACCGTCTCCCACTGACCCCACTGACCATCTCCCACTGACCCCACTGACCATCTCCCACTGACAGTCTCCCACTGACCGTATCCCACTGAACGTCTCCCAATGACCATCTTAATGACCGTCTCCCATCGAACGTCTCCAACCGACCCCACCGACCGCCTCCCTGCTGAGTGCTGACCATCTCCCACTGACCGTCTCCCACTGACCGATTCCCACTGACCGTCTCCCAATGACCGTCTCCCAATGACCGTCTCCCAATGACCGTCTCCCACTGACCCCACTGACAGTCTCCCGCTGACCATCTCCCACTGAACGTCTCCCACTGACCGTCTCCCACTGGCCGTCTCCCACTGACCGTATCCCACTGACCCCACTGACCGTCTCCCACTGACCCTACGGCCCACTGACAGTCTCCCACTGACCCCACGGCCCACTGACCGTCTCCCACTCACCCCACGGCCCACTGACCGTCTCCCACTGACCCCTCTGACCGTCTACCACTGACCGTCTCCCACTGACCCCACTGACCGTCTCCCACTGACTGTCTCCCACTGACCGTCTCCCACTGACCCCAATGACCGTCTCCTAATGACCGTATCCCACTGACCCCACTGACCAGTGACCGTCTACCACTGACCGTCTCCCACTGACCGTCTCCCACTGACCCCAATGACCGTCTCCACTAACCATCTCCCACTGACCCAACCGACCGTCTCCCATCAACCGTCTCCCACTGACCCTGCTGACCATCTCCCAATGACCGTCTCCCACTGACCGTCTCCCACTGACCGATTCCCACTGACCGTCTCCCAATGACCGTCTCCCAATGACCGTCTCCCACTGACCCCACTGACAGTCTCCCGCTGACCATCTCCCACTGAACGTCTCCCACTGACCGTCTCCCACTGGCCGTCTCCCACTGACCGTATCCCACTGACCCCACTGACCGTCTCCCACTGACCGTCTCCCACTGACCGTCTCCCACTGACCGTCTACCACTGACCGTATCTCACTGGCCGTATCCCACTGACCCCAATGACCGTCTCCCACTGACCGTCTACCACTGACCGTATCTCACTGGCCGTATCCCACTGACCCCAATGACCGTCTCCTAATGACCGTCTCCCACTGACCCCACTGACCGTCTCCCACTGACCGTCTCCCACTGACCGTCTCCCACTGACCGTCTTCCACTGACCGTCTCCCACTGACCGTCTCCCACTGACCGTCTCCCACTGACCGTCTACCACTGACCGTCTCCCACTGACCGTCTCCCACTGACCCCAATGATCGTCTCCACTGACCATCTACCACTGGCCCCACCGACCGTCTCCCATCGACCGTCTCCCACTGACCCCACGGACCGTCTCCCACTGACCGTCTCCCACTGACCTCAATGACCGTCTCCATGACCGTCTCCCACTGACCCCACTGACCATCTCCCACTGACCCCACTGACCATCTCCCACTGACAGTCTCCCACTGACCGTATCCCACTGAACGTCTCCCAATGACCATCTTAATGACCGTCTCCCATCGAACGTCTCCAACCGACCCCACCGACCGCCTCCCTGCTGAGTGCTGACCATCTCCCACTGACCGTCTCCCACTGACCGATTCCCACTGACCGTCTCCCAATGACCGTCTCCCAATGACCGTCTCCCAATGACCGTCTCCCACTGACCCCACTGACAGTCTCCCGCTGACCATCTCCCACTGAACGTCTCCCACTGACCGTCTCCCACTGGCCGTCTCCCACTGACCGTATCCCACTGACCCCACTGACCGTCTCCCACTGACCCTACGGCCCACTGACAGTCTCCCACTGACCCCACGGCCCACTGACCGTCTCCCACTCACCCCACGGCCCACTGACCGTCTCCCACTGACCCCTCTGACCGTCTACCACTGACCGTCTCCCACTGACCCCACTGACCGTCTCCCACTGACTGTCTCCCACTGACCGTCTCCCACTGACCCCAATGACCGTCTCCTAATGACCGTATCCCACTGACCCCACTGACCAGTGACCGTCTACCACTGACCGTCTCCCACTGACCGTCTCCCACTGACCCCAATGACCGTCTCCACTAACCATCTCCCACTGACCCAACCGACCGTCTCCCATCAACCGTCTCCCACTGACCCTGCTGACCATCTCCCAATGACCGTCTCCCACTGACCGTCTCCCACTGACCGATTCCCACTGACCGTCTCCCAATGACCGTCTCCCAATGACCGTCTCCCACTGACCCCACTGACAGTCTCCCGCTGACCATCTCCCACTGAACGTCTCCCACTGACCGTCTCCCACTGGCCGTCTCCCACTGACCGTATCCCACTGACCCCACTGACCGTCTCCCACTGACCCTACGGCCCACTGACAGTCTCCCACTGACCCCACGGCCCACTGACCGTCTCCCACTCACCCCACTGACCGTCTACCACTGACCGTCTCCCACTGACCCCACTGACCGTCTCCCACTGACTGTCTCCCACTGACCGTCTCCCACTGACCCCAATGACCGTCTCCCACTGACCGTATCCCACTGACCCCACTGACCAGTGACCGTCTACCACTGACCGTCTCCCACTGACCGTCTCCCACTGACCCCAATGACCGTCTCCACTGACCATCTCCCACTGACCCAACCGACCGTCTCCCATCAACCGTCTCCCACTGACCCTGCTGACCATCTCCCAATGACCGTCTCCCAATGACCGTCTCCCACTGACCCCATTGACCGTCTCCCAATGACCATCTCCCAATGACCGTCTCCCACTGACCCCACTGACAGTCTCCCACTGACCATCTCCCACTGACAGTCTCTCACTGACCCCAATGACCGTCTCCTAATGACCGTCTCCCGCTGACCCCACTGAAAATCTCCCACTGACAGTCTCCCACTGACCGTATCCCACTGAACGTCTCCCAATGACCGTCTCCCACTGGCCCCACCGACCGTCTCCCACTGGCCATCTTAATGACCGTCTCCCATCGACCGCCGGCGCCATAGAAAACCAAATAGCACGGCGAGGGTTAATATCACTATAAAGCATGCTACAAGAAGTGGTCTGACGCAGCACTGAGGGCAGCCAAATTATGCTGGGCGGGGCCTCTGAGCGCTGGCTGATCAATGCTCGGGGTTACATGAGCAGAGTTAATACGCATTACAAACGGACTACAATGGTGAGCGAATAGGAAAATCCGTTCCTGATACGCATTTACTTGCTCATGTAACCCCGGTAAATGATATACCTACAAGCGGAGTGGCCACTGGCCAGTCCGTTTTACCACCCTCAGGCCGTTTGAGGACGTCAATGCCCCGGTCTGCTTGTTGGTAGACATCTGCTACCGCTGCCTCGCACGGACCGTCAAACGTGATCGCTCCGGCGCTCCTCCATCGCTCCTCTATCGCCGAGTGTCCGCCGTGCCCCCAACCCTACAGAGTATAGTCGACTACAGAATGATGTTCCACTCCTCAGAAGCTATCTGTTGACCGGAGCGCTAAGCTGTGCCGTTTATCGCGTGTCGATTGTGAGCATTGGGACAAAGCTATAATTTGTGAACTCAGCCCGTGTGATGCGGCACAGCCTACCACTCCAGGCAAATAATTGCCTGTGAAAAGTGGAACATCAGAGCCGTTCGGCTGGCGTCAGTCCTCTCCTCTCCGCAGAGGAGAACCACTTCCTCGGGCTGATGATCCAAGACCTGCCCGAGTTCGTCTGTTTTGGACTGGAGCACCGGCCACATTGGGGCGGCAAAGTGTTCCGCTAGATGGACGGCAGCACCGTGCAGTACTCACCAACTGGAACGTCAATGAAGGCCAGCCGAGCCTCGTAAGCAGCGACACGCTGGCCTGCTGGGAGAACGACACACTTACTTCTTTGGAGGGACAAGAGGCTCACATCGGGTGCTAATAGAGGATTCGTCTGCTAGATTTGATGAGAAAAAGAAGTTCTCATATCTTCTCTCAGACGATCAGAGAGAAGATCGACCTGGTCGGACTTTTCAATATTTATCATCGGCGTGTATGTACGAGTATAGTGTACATTTTCGATTAATAATTACTTGCATTGCCCCACAAGGTAGGTACCGGTAATGAGAACTACCTAATTGATAAGTACATATAGTATCGCGTGTATCCATCCATCCATCCTGGATAGGGTAGGGTATTGTAGTGTATGTTAAGTTTGAGTGCATAAGGGCCCAACATCCGAAAGACTCAAACAACCCGGTAATCAGCACCAGCATATCATACAGTTCAATTAAAACCAAATGTCAAACTTCACCTAGCTCATACAAATAAAAATATAACCTCATACACCCAAACTAATGCCCCCATTAACAATATCTATCGAATCTTTACAGTTATCGCGCAAACATGGCCATCTAGTTATCTCTTATTTATGCGTATTTACTCGTTCGAGAAGGCATCTACGGTAAGTGTTGAGTGAATGTTAAATTTCGATGCTCGATGGACTCTCGTAAAATGAGTCTTTTTGTGTTATTCTTGGAAAGTGTTTATATCCTGCGCCGCATCGATGTAGCCAGGACTGGTTATTACGACTCCCACTAGGCATAACCGCATTTATGCATTAGTTGTCTAGTGAATGCATACTTCAGCGAAATACAAAACAAAATACGTTTTATTATGATTCACAATAAAACACATTTCATCAATAATGACATGTCGGAGTGTTCCTCCCTCAGTCACAATACTAAAATTCACAGCATGTTGTCGATTGACGATAGGTTTACATTTCAGTCCGCTTACGCCGTCAGGGGAATGGGGCAGTTAGGGTACTGGGGGCAGTCGCTGGGGTCGACCCCGGCGGGAAAACGGGGGGCAGCAGGGACACCAGCAGCGGCGGGAGCAGGGGCTGCCTGCTGGGGAGCACGGACCTGCTGGGGGAACTGCTGAGGAGCCTGGAACTGCTGGGGAGCCTGGACCTGCTGGGGGAACTGCTGAGGAGCCTGGAACTGCTGGGGGAACTGCTGGGGAGCCCTGAACTGCTGAGGAGCCTGGAACTGCTGGGGTCCCTGGAACTGCTGGGGGAACTGCTGGGGAGCCCGGAACTGCTGAGGGAACTGCTGGGAACCCTGGAACTGCTGAGGGAACTGCTGACGGGTCTGGAACTGCTGAGGGAACTGCTGGGGAGCCTGGAACTGCTGGGGGAACTGCTGCTGCTGAGGAGCAGGGAACTGCTGCTGAGGAGCGGCGAACTGCTGCGGCTGAGGCGCGCGGAACTGCGGCTGCTGCGGAGCGAACTGCTGCTGCTGCTGCGGAGCGAACTGCTGCTGCTGCTGCTGGGGCGCGAACTGCTGCTGCTGCTGGGGCGCGAACTGCTGCTGAGGGGCGTCGAACTGCTGCTGAGGGGCCGGAGACGGCTGGGGCTGCGGGGCCGGCAGCGGCTCGGGCGCCTTCGGCAGGATGGGCGAGGAGACCTGGAAGCCGTTCTTGCCGGCGGTGTACTTGACGACGACGTTCTGGCCGTCGGCGTCGACGTACTGGTACTGTCCGCTGACCTCGCCGTCGTCGCCGGCGGTCTCGACGCGCGCCGTGCCGTCCTCCGAGGCGAACCCGAAGTCGTACTTGCCGGACACGTCGGCGGAGCGGCTCTCGTTGAGGATGGCCACGTCCTGGCTGCTCTGCGCCAGGACGGCTCCGATCGCTCCGAGGAGAACCAGCTGCCGGGGCACGAGACAGAGGTCAGGACACGCAGCGCACGGGCATCACCAGAAGGGGGACTGCAGTGCAGCTGCTGTACAGCGAGTTATGACCCACCAACTAAACAGCTCAGCTTATATCGTCATGTTTTTCACAAAATCTGCTAGTTCTGTTATTCATTGAATTTGTTTTCTGAATTTTCTTTTCTGATCTGCAACTTTTATGTTTATTTAAGTGATCAGGTAGGTATCTATATTATTCTTAAGCGTACTACAAGCTGGTATTACGAATTGATGTGCATGAAACCTTTCACAGTTCGCTGATTTTCTTGCTGCTGATTGTCCGTTCTTTTATGCCGATCACGGCAAAAAGAGTCGATCACACCTTCTTTCCCAACTCAACGTTTTTGATAAATTTCTGTCTTCACTTTGCGCGGCGGAGCGATCCGAGATCACACGGCACCTATTATCGCCCTCACCTTTCCGATCATGGTGGTGTTGAGGCCGGGTGTCCGGGACAAGTATGAGAGCTCCATCGGCCGGCGCACTTATAAAGGGCCCCGGCCGCACCCGGCCCGGCGGCGGCCTTGGTGTAGGCGTCCGCTCTCCGCCCGGCGCCGACCGCCTATTGTCCTATAGCCGCCGTCCGGGTACTTCCTGAACGGAGGTGAGGGTGAGAGCAGCGCTCCGTCAGCCGCTGACGCTCCCCACGCCCTCCGAGGGCAGCCTCACGCGCCGACGGCTGTTTACCTGTCGCTGTTGCAAGGTCAATGACCTTCGCGGTTCAAGGCGCCACTGATACAGATCCGCCTCCCTCCGGCGGGTGTCAACAAAAACGGTCGTTTGAGCGCGTCTTGAAAAGATCTATAGATTTATGGGCGTGAGCGTGGGGAAGGCATTGGTGCGAGGCATTCATTGGCCTGGTGACCACCGTGTTGTTATGGGTGTTTTATTGGTTTTTAATGTTGTGTGTGTCACTTTTTATTACCGAGTGCCCGCTTAGCAGGGTTTAATAGTGCCACCAAAAACGTCACTCGAGAGCTCAGATACCCGCATTGGCCGTCTCGTGATCACCATTTGGTGGGCAGTAGGATCTGAGCAATGTCAGTATGTAACAACTTTGATTAACCGTGGATTAACCCTGGTCCGTATATGTGGGCGGGTGGGGGGGGGGGGGGGAGGGTCGAACGGAGGTCCCACTCTCGGTTTTTCGCGAATAACTCGCGTAAAAAGCGGCCGGTCGCTACGACACTTTCAGTACCCTCCACTCCAATTGATCAATTTTACAACCACCCTAAAATTTCATGACCCTGACCCAAATGACCTTTGAACTGTGACCAACTTTTCGAGACCATGTTTGACCGGAATCGCGATTCGGCACATCTCGGCTCGCATTAGCCGCGCGTTTGCAGTCTTCGCGTAGTTTCAAGCGTTCAAACATGTGACATGATGTTGCTCCCATGCATTAGGGTGGTTGTCAAGGTCACCTGAAGGTCAGGTCAAGTCAATGACCTTCGATGACCTCGGCTCACTTTTTCGAGTTTTACATATATCTAGGCTATTTTTTGGAGCTGAGTTCGAATTTAGCAGCCATTTGAACATTTACGAAGTAGTTTTGATGCTTCATTATTCATGTAACGAAGCTGTCAGAGGTGATTGACACCTTCTACGAATACCCGTCAGTACTTCTACTGGTTGACCTGACCTGAGCTGACCTGGCCTAAATGCATAATGACATAATCGTGATCAAAACTAACATGATATTCGTGATCAGCGCCCCGAAAAAACCCGTAGTAGCCACACTTTACCGCGTTCTAACAGGTCCGGATTTTCCGATTTTTGGGTCATTGACCTGACCTGGACGGTCAGCCAATGACATACATAGGACCTAAACTCACAGGCGGTGGGCCTCCCGGCCACCTTCCGCGCGGTGGGGGGGGGGGGGGGGCATTTTTTGCCCCCCCCCCACCGTATATCTCCGAAACGACTGGACGGATCCGTAAATTTCAAACGGCGTTCGATACCCCTGTCAAATTTGTCGAACGAAACCAAATTTCATTGACCTCGGGGTCACCGATGACGTCACAGGTCAGTCAATATAAAATGTTTCACCGTTCACGAGTCTTCTAGGGAATACGCTATGCCTATAACATCGAGTAAAACGCATTTTCTCGAAAATCAGCGATAGCGCGTCAGTTGCCTAGTACATATGTTGCTATTAGAGGTCACTGATAATACCAGGTCTGAGGTCAGGTCACAGGTCAGGTCACCAAGGGCCAGCACATCAACCCAACTTTACTAAGGTTGTGCGATGCATGTTTTATGGCCAATTTTTCATTTCCAACTCAATGGTGTTGGTTATAAGACCATAAGGCACGGTTTAGGTCACTTTCTGGTAGAGGTCAGGTCAAGGTCAGGTCAAAAAGGTCAAATTTCAAAGTTCATAGTTTTGCATAATTTTTTTTCCTCAACTAACTAACTAACTACTAAAATGGGTATTGATACGATGCAGCTCGTGACGGCGAGTCTAATGGTGGTCTTTATTTTGCGCTTCAAAGTCTAGAATTGCTAAAAAATGAGTTTTAAAATTTGACGTCATTAATTTTACAGTTTTTTTTTTCGCTATAACTTGGCCAAAAGAAGAGGCATCGATCTCAAATTTGGTATGTGGATAGAATGGGGTAGGGACTATCACATATCATTCCGTTTTTTTCGAAATCAAAAAAAAAATCTTGGATTATTTGGCGCTTATAGGTATTCAAAAAATCTATTTTTTATTTTTGGGCGTCAAAATCCAAAAAGTTCAAAAATCCGAGATGGCAGTTTTTACTTCGACGGCATTAGCGGCCAACCTATCATAGCATTTGGAAACATTTTTGGTCACAATGTGCAAAAGCTATTCACGGGAGGGTACTGAAAGTTTGGTGACGATCGGCGCAGCGATTCTGGAGATATATAAAAAAAACTAAAATGGGGAGAAAAATTCCCCCCCATGTCTGGAAGGTTAAAAGTGGGATGGTCGGCTTCTTCTCGTCACGGGCAACACGCTCGTTCTTTCCGCGGAGCTCTAGCTCGATTAGGGGCGAAACGGCAAGGGGGAGGGGGTCCAACGCCCCCCCCCCCTTGTACGTTCGCGGCTGGCAAAACACCAATACCTACGGGCGCGCCCCGTTGAGGCCTGGCAGGTTCCACGTCCTATTGGGGGGGGGGGGGCAAAGGGCCCCTACTATGCAGTGTGTTAGAGAGCAGCGCTCTGGCTGTCGGACACAAAGAGGCGGGCGGTGCCGCAGCGGCGGGGGAGGCGGCGGCTGCTGGGCGCCGCCGCGCTGGCAGGCCGGAAGTGGCCGAACCGCCCGGGCAGCAGTGGGCCCGCTGTGAGTCCGCCGGCCCCGCCCTGGCCGCCGGTGGCCGAGACGGCGCTGGCCCGCTGTCCTTGGACATAAGGAGCCTGGCCTAGATCGTCCCAACATCCCGGCGATGGACTGATGCGGCGAGCTCCGCACTGGACTGGGAGGGTGAGAGGCTGGACGACCGGCACGAATGGTCTCCCACGCTTGGATACCCTCGAAGGTCACAAGTGAAGTGGAAAAAGTAAACTGGCAGGAACGGGTTACATGGCACTGGGCACTAAACATGTACTGAAATTGAGCAAAGTAAGGGGCTGAAACTGATAACATAACAAATCTTGGGTTTGGCTGAAGTGCTGATCACTTCACGATAAACGGAAGGTAACTGCTTAGTGCTTATGTTTTATTGGTTCTGAGCCTCCTCAATTCCAGGTAACCTTCGGCTGCCTGGTGGTCCCTCGTTGACTGACCTGCAGTGAGTTTCTGTGGATTTTTCCGGCCGGCGCGCCGGGCGGGGCGGGGCGGCGTGTCATCCTGCGCCAGGGTCACGGGCTGGTAGGATGAGATGGGGTCGGCAGGGCGGGGCCGGCGCCTCGGCTCCACGGAGTCGGCATCCCAGGAGGGTCCGGTGGGCGTGGTGGGCTCGGAATCACGAGCGCACGGTCATCCCTGCCGCGCTGCAGGCCTGTCCATGTCGGACCGGACTGCACCGCGTGGCGTGCCATCTACGGCCTACTGTAGCTATACGGCAAACGTTTTATGTTACGAAATGGACACATTTTATGCTTCGTGTAGGGTTAAATTTGACCTAAAAAGTTAACATAGAAATTTGACCTAAGTACAAGGTCATGTCCTGACCAAAGCATACCAGTCGATCCACATATTGTCGAACAGAACACATTAAACGTGCTGTATCGCAATAGATGTATAGGTTTATCAAAAGTTGTCCACGAAAAACGGTTTTTACCTTTAGTAACCTTAGATGACCTTAGGTTTCTAAAGTGGGGTCTTCGGCGCAATTTCCCGATTGATTTTGTAATATTAAACCTATTAGGTACATACCTACACGATGACTGAAAATGATTAAATGGCTTTCATCCAAAAAGTCGTAGTTCAATTTTCCCCATTGCCTCTTAGTAGTAGTAGTAGTCATTGATCTGACTTAAGCTCGCCGATATAAAAATTCAAAATAGCTAGGTATCCGTTTTGTTCCTTCTGACACTCTAATCAATATCTGAAAGTTTGTCAGTGTAACTGTCATGAGCATGGAAACTTATGAGGTTAGGTCACGACATAACCTAGTGGCCTGACTTTAAACGACCTTTAAATTTCTAAAATGCTCACAGCATGTGCAATAAACATGCATACCCTCGCCGGATCTATTGGTTTTCTACATACTCGCCGGCCGAGGGGGGGGGGGGTACGACCCCCTTGCCGTTGCGCCCCTGGTGGAGCTAGCGCGTCACGGAAAAAACAAGCGTGTGCGCCGTTACGAGACGCAGAAATTAATACTCGATTTTAAGGTCCTAGGTCAACCGGTGACCTCTGAGGTTAGGTCAAGTGCCCAAAGGTACTGTTCCGTTTTTGGTGAATAACTTCGCAAAAAACGGCTGCAGAGCCGTAACTTTGGCAGCATCGTGTTCGCCTTGCTCAGGCGCGTCGAATGATATACTTTTTATTTGGGTGAGATCAACTTAGGGTGTTGACCTTAGGTCACGGTCAGGTCAGCACCCCCAGGTCACGAAATTGGTCGAAGTGGGTCATGTCACATAGCTTTCGATTCGCCAGGTCTTCCCGAGTCCAGTGGTGACTTTCCCGACTCGCTAGCTCAATTTGATCGGGAGTTATTGACGAAAAACTAATATGACCCTAATGACGTCATAAATGACGTAACGCAAGGTCAACATTGCAAAAGTGACGCTTCTAACCTTGCAAGGAGTGCACCAACTCACGATTCTGCGTGCTTGAGATAGTTGGAGATCGTTCCCGGCGCCAGAATAGCAGTTCTCATTGTTCCCCATTGACTTAAATGGTGAGGTCACGAAAATGACCTGACCTCATATGATCTTTAGGAAAATCCGAATATACAAGTTGTGACACTCGTAATGGATATTAGATCCTACAAGTTTCATTTCCCTGTGAAAGCTCCTCTGCACTGAAAACAATTTAACCCAAGGCTGGCGAGTAAACCGGTGTTTTACGCGTACCCCTACGCAACCATTTTTAACCACCCTCCCAGGAGTAGTGCTAGGTCCCATTGCGGTGTAGTCGTACTTGCTCTGAGCGGATATAACCGCTGTCAGCGAACAAGTCCACTGAGAGCAGGGACGACTACACTGCAATGGGATCTTACTGTACTCCTGGGAG